GGGAAGGTTCGTACCTCCCCAGCTCTGCTGTGGACTAGGAAGGTCGGCGATGCGTCTGCGTTCCGTGTCTGGGGATCTCGGGCGTTTGTCCGCGACTTGTCTGCGGACAAGCTGTCCCCCCGTGCTTCTCCCTGTGTCTTCCTTGGCTTCCCCCTTGACGCTCCAGGGTGGCAGTTCTACCACCCCTCCTCTCGTCGTGTTCTGTCCTCCCAGGACGTCACGTTCGACGAGTCCGTCCCCTTCTACCGTCTCTTCCCCTACCACACGCCTTCCCTCCCCCCGCCGCCGCACTTCCTGGTACCAGGTCCCCCCCCGGTAGACCCCCTTCCCCCTTAGGGTCCAGCCCCTTCAGGTGTGTCCCAGGTTGACGCAGTCGAGTCGGTCGAGGTTGCTGGTGACTCTAGTACTGCTGCAGGTGCTGAGCCTGGGGGTGCTGACTCTGGGGGTGCCGTGCGCGTGGGTGCTGAGCCTGGGGGTGCTGAGTCTGGGGGTGCTACGACTGAGGGTGCTGAGCCTGGGGTTGCTGAGCCTGGTGGTGCTGAGCCTGGGGTTGCTGAGTCTGGGGGTGCTACGTCAGGAACTGCTGAGCCTGGAGGTGCTGCGTCTGGAGCTACTGAGCCTGGAGGTGCTGCGTCTGGGGCTGCTGAGCCTGGAGGTGCGGAGCCTGCCGCCGCTGGACCTCCCCTTGTGGCGTCTAAAGGTGCTGGCCCTGGAGGTTCTCCGGGTGCTCCGTCTCGGAGGGAGCCACTCTCTTCACATGAGCTGCGCAAGTGGTTTGCTAGCCGCTGGAGGCGTACTGCTGGAGTTGGGGCTTCTTCTGCCGCTGAGGGTGCTGGTGCCGCTGGTCCCGGCGCTTCTGGACCTGCGGGTCCTTCTGGAGCTGGAGCTGCTGAGGGTGGTGGTGCTGAGCCTGCTGCTGGAGGTCCTGCCGCTGGAGGTGCTGTTGGCGCTGGTGCTGCTACTGGGGGTGCTGGTGCTGTCCCTGCTGTGTCTGGAGTCCTCGCACGGCCTCGGCCGTACTTCGTTCCGCTCCTGCAGCAAGTTCTTAGTCTCTCTCCTCCTGTAGAGTGTCCACCGACTGTCCAGTCACAGTCATTGTTAGAGCCCGCCTCCCCACTGCCTGCTCCTTCTCCTTACACTGGTCCTACTGGAGGTCTTGCTGAGCGTCGTCAGCCTGCGTCTCGTCCCGCGTCGCCTGTTCGTGCTGCTCGCGCTAGTGGTCGCGGTTCGCGTCAGCGTCCTCCTCCTTTCCCTGGCACGCACCGGATGTCTCTGCGTCCGTCCATTGCTCCTCTGCGTGCCCCTTTGCCTTCTCCTCCTGAGTCCTCTCTTCCTGCACTTGCCGACCCTGAGTCGGACTCTCTTCGTGCTGCCAGTCCTACTGTCACGCGTCTCCTTGCTACTCTCGTTACCGACCCCTCCTTTGAGTCCACTGCTGCGTCTGCTCTTGTTGCTGAGCTCGTCGACTTTGCCGCTCGCTGTCGTCTAGACTACGCTGCTAGTCTTGTTACTGAGTCTGCGTCTGTCTGTCCTCCGTCCGTCGGGGGTGAGTGTGCTCTTCGCACGGACGTCCTTGAGGACAGACAGGAGGAGTTTCAGTGTCTGGCTGCTGCTTCACCTCATCTCGCGTCTGTACTGCTTGCCCCTGAGGGAGACCCGGATGCACTAGACATCTCGACTCCGCGTTCTTACGCGGAGGCCGTAGAGGGTCCCTACTCCTCTCAGTGACAGGCAGCTATGGATGCAGAGATGGCTTCCTGGAAGTCCACAGGCACCTACGTTGATGCGGTTCCCCCTCCTGGGGCGAACATCGTCAGTGGCATGTGGATCTTCAGGGTGAAGCGGCCGCCTGGCTCTCCACCTATCTTCAAGGCGCGGTACGTCGCTCGTGGCTTCAGTCAGCGGCAGGGAGTTGACTACTTTCAGACCTTCTCTCCCACCCCGAAGATGACTACTCTTCGGGTGCTGCTGCACATAGCCGCTCAGCGCGACTACGAGCTTCACTCTCTTGACTTCATCACAGCTTTCTTGCAGGGCAGCCTGCACGAGGAGATCTGGCTGCGCTGTCCACCTGGCTTCACTGGCACTTTCCCTCCTGGCACCTAGTGGAGCCTCCGACGGCGAGTCTACGGTCTCCGCCAGGCACCGCGTGAGTGGCACGACACACTGAGGACTACGCTTGCGGCTTTTGGGTTTGCTCCCTCTACTGCTGACCCGTCGCTGTTTCTGCGCACCGACACTTCTTTGCCGCCATTCTACATCTTCGTGTACGTCGATGACTCGGTCTTTGCCACTGCTGACACTGCTGGACTCGCCTACGTGAAGTCCGAGCTGCAGAAGAGACACACGTGCACAGACCTGGGTGAACTGCGCAGCTACCTTGGCTTGCAGATCACTCGGGACAGAGCACGCCGCACCATTACCTTGACTCAGTCACACATGGTGCAGCAGGTCCTTCAGCGCTTCGGCTTCACGTACTCCTCGCCTCAGGCCACTCCTCTGTCTACTCGCCACTCGCTCTCAGCTCTGCCTTCGGATGAGTCCGTAGAGTCAAGTGGCCCGTACCCAGAGCTTGTTGGCTGCCTCATGTACCTGATGACCTGCACACGACCTGACCTTGCATGCCCTCTTAGCATTCTTGCACGCTATGTTGCTCCTGGGAGACACCGACCGGAGCACATGGCTGCAACGAAGAGGGTGTTGCGCTACTTGTGCAGTACGTCGGGCATGGGGCTAGTGCTTGGAGGGCGGAGTCCAGTGGTCCTCACTGGGCACGCGGATGCTTCTTGGGCTGACGACCAGGCTACGCAGCGGTCGTCGCAGGGTTCTGGCTCTGTCTCGTGGCGGGCTACTCACTCGTCCTCTGTTCTCGGTGTGAAAATTAGAAGAAAGAAAGAGGGGTTGAACTAGCAGAAATGGGGATACAAATAGCAAACCCTAGAAGGGTTGTACTCGCTATAGAGCACCCCACTACAGGCTAGAACATAAGAATAACATTCTGACACTCGGCTCCAGTTGTGAGGCTGAGATCTACGCCGGGGCCATGGCTGCACAGTAGCTTCGCTGGCTCACCTACCTGCTGACTGACCTTGGAGAGTCGCCTCGTTCTCCTCCAGTGCTGTACGTAGACAACAAGGCCATGCTGGCCTTGTGTCGAGAGCAGCACTTGGAGCACACAACGAAGCACATTGCTCTCCGCTACTTCCTTGCTCGTGAGCTGCAGCAGCGTGGTCAGTTGCGACTTGCGTACGTGGCCTCTGAGGCCAACACTGCTGATGTTTTCACCAAGGCACTTCCGCCTTGTGATCATCAGCGCTTCTGCACTCAGCTGGGACTTGTCCCAGTCTTGCCTCACTTACTTACCTCTTGACCTTACTTGTACTCTTGCATATATATATACCTGCTCTTGCGTGTTTAGCTTTATATATATATATATGTATATTTATACATGTATGTGTCTCCTCTTGCATGTGAACTGGCCTTGTGACCTTGATCTTGTGCTCGGACTGTGTGGTGACTTTGTGATCCACCCTGAGCTTTGCTTTGTTTTGCTTGACTGGTCTTGTGACCCCTTGTTCTCCCCCACTTTGCCTATGGGGGTGTGTCAGAACATTATAGCTTATGCTGTTGTGTAGGCTATAGTGGGGTATCCCATAGGGGGCACAACCCCATTAGGGTTGGTACTTGTACTCACACATTTGATAGTTCATCCATTCGTGTTCTTTGCTTTCACACAACTCAAAACAGACTCATATGTGTGTGATTTTGTGTACACTTCCAAACCTAGCCATGCAGCTGTACAGAACAACAACTACACTACTGTACGGGGAAACAATCAAACTAGGAAAAATATGTCAGAAGTAACCATCATTGGACTCGATAACGTGAATGGTAAAAAAGTAGCACGTACGGTCACTGTATCAGGTTTGCTGACGGGATTGGTAAGTGGGGTTACAGATTCAGTCACTAACAACATGTAAAAAATCACGCGAATGGTCACACATGTAACTCCCACCAAAAATTCCCGAAACTCTTCAAAATTCCCACTTGCGCCCAACCAATCAGCTAATTTCAATAAAAAAATCAAACCCAATCGGAATCGGAAGCGGTTTGGGAACGGATCAACCCTAAACACATGGCGGATTGTGTTTAGGTTTGTTTCATCCGAAAAATCATCCAGGTTCATTTTGGGTATCATCGTTTTTTGGGCGGGAGTTTCATCTGTGACCATTCGCTTTTTTTTTACCAGTTGTTAGTGACTGATTCCGTGAAACGTTTTATTAGCCTCGTGAAAACACCCTTCGCAGTGACTGTACCCTTTATTTTTTTGTCAAATAGGTTATCGAGTCCCATGATGGTTACGAATGGCATATTTTCCCATCAAACTAGGGCTGAAGATCATCATCCTCGAGTCGCTCAAGACTGGGCTTGGGTGCTCGATGCGCTCTACCCGCCGCCGCAAACTCATTATGGTCTCCCCCCCACCCCCCCCCCTCCTTCCACCACTCACCCCTCCTCGCCCCCATGTGCGTACGATGCTTGTAGACGCCGAAAAAAATCGCAGCCAGTGAACCTTGTCCTCCACCTGCAAATCTCACTATGCGTCAGCCACTAAACAGCCGCCACGACTGGGACGATCGTATTTATACTGTCGCGGCGAATCATCACGCACCAGCCGGACCACTCAATCCACAAATCGCCCTAGGGGAGGAGGCGGCGCACCACCACCAAACCCAACTCTGGGAAAGGACTTTCATTCTGTGCTCTGTGTGGATGGCGCATCCCGCACACCTGTTCGCCGGGGAGGACCGCGCGGAGGAAGCATTCCGCCGAGGCAGCACTCCCTCACGTATCCATATCCACTGTCCACCCATATGAATTTCCAAAATCTTGCTACTTCAGACATTCAGTGAGCCAGCGCTGCGTCTTTCGCGCACACTGTGGCATAGCTCAATCCTCTCCTCCGTCGCGCTCACCCACTGCCAGCGACGATAACGACCATGGAGCGCCAATACCTCACCTTAGCGCTGCTGCTGCTCGCGGTCACCATCTCGACGTCCGCCGTGACCACAACGAAACACGGCACGCTCATTATCAGCAACGCCGACCGCAGCCTGACGGTCGACAATTACACCATCCACGGCAAGACCATCGTCGACAACGAAACCAAAGCCATCGTCAAGCCAAAGAAAAACCCCGACGGCTCGCTCACGGTGGAGGGCAAGTACACGTGGTACCCGAACGGGACCATCGTCGCGCCTGGTGTGACTATAGCGGTCGCCGGTAAGGCCAGCTACGTGCAAATCGCGAAGACGAAGCTGTTCGGCATTGACGGCGTCGCCCGGGACGCCACGACAAACAATGTGATCCCGTGGATTGAGGACGACGCCGCGAAGACGTTCACTGCTGGCGACATCACGGGCTGGTCGAACGGCACGTTCCTCGGTTCTAACGGCGTCGTGCTGCGAACGCGCCTCAGATTCAAGCCATCGAACGGCACCCGCGGCGGCGGGAGCACAGGTACTCGCGGGGGCACGGGCACGGGCACGGGCACGGGTGGAAGCACGGGCATGGGCGGAGGCACTGGCATGGGAGCACAGGCACGGGCTGATGCACGGGCAATGGCGGAAGCACGGGCAATGGCGGGGTGTAAACCCCAACAGCCGTGTGCCTTTCGGCAAGGACTACATTCTGTTGCCCAACGGCACTGCTGTGGACTCCTCTGGCAAGCCCGTCAAGCGAGTTGCCAATCCTGTTCGGCGGTTCGGTGGTGCGCGGCGACAGTTAGCTCGCTGTATTCCGAAAGCAGCTATGCCTTCCTCATACTTAGCCCCCTGGTGGTGATTCCGCTAGAGGTCTCGACTTCACCGTCCACAACAACGGCACACTCACTGCTCACCTTAACCTTTGTCATGCCCACTCCGACGCCCACTGCTCAATTGATCGCATTCAAAATAACAATTGACACCATCAGCTTTGTTGCTGCTCATCTTTCTCCCAGCCCCAGCAACCCCCCTGCATCTCCTACTCCCTCCTCCCCTACTCCCTCCTCCCCTACTCCCTCCTCCCCTGCAGCCTCACCGCCACCGCCCAAGCCTGCTGCCATGATGCGTTCTGTGCCTTTGTTCTTCATTGTGTTGGATATATCTGCTGCTCTCGTTTCACACAGCTTTCATTTCATCCCGTTTCCTCTCTCCTGTTTCCCTGTTTCCGCCCCCTTTCTTTCTTCCCAGGCAGCCGCGTGCCCATGTCCCTGACACCGTTATTCTACAATATCTCTTACATCACTTGCGCTATTCGTTTGTTAGCTCTCTCATGTGACTCTACTCCCGCTGTCCCAACTCCGTCCTGCCCTCCACTTGTCAGGTGCTCCCAGCCCCAGCCCCACCCCCAGCCCCATCCCCAGTCCCAGCCCCGCCCCCAGCCCAAGCACCCCCCCTGCATCTCCTACTCCCTCCTCCCCCCCACCGCCACCACCTAAGCCTGCTGGTATGTTTCTTCTGAGTTGGTTTCTCTGCTTTGGGTTGATCGCTTCTACTGTTGTCGTTTTTTGCAACTGTAATCTCAGCATGTTACCCCTCGCTTCCCTGCTTCCCCTCGTCCCCCGCCCCCTCCCTCCCTCCCTCCCCCTTTCTTCCGAGACAATCACATGCCCTTCTCCCACCCTTCTTTTGCTTCCACAAATGGTTTTCTATTGCTATCATGTGACTCCCACCTTGTCCTCCCCTTACCAGGTTCTCTCACTTCACCAGTCACTGTCTTGGCCACTGCCATTGCTGTTGCCCTCACCTCTCTGCTCTTTGCGTAGAGCAGTGTGTCAAACATGAAACAACAGGAGAGTCAAGTCAGTGACAATAACAAAATCACAGTAACGGTACCAAGTGCACTGTGAGGACACAAGTCAAGTGGCAGCACCGCCAGCGTGCTTCCGTTGAAGTTGGCTGTTCTATTCTGAGGGGCTGTTGGGATTTTGCTGGGGGATTTGTGAGGGTATTGTAGTGGTTACGGGTTGGAAGTTCTAAATGTTTTGGTTACCATAGAATGACTGTCGGTTGCAATTGTGTGCATGTTGCTTGACAGATTCTGTTGCTGTACAAGCCATGCAGGTCACTGACATTGTCATGAGTCTGATTGAGCACAGATGTGTGTAGTGAACACCTTGGAAAGTGGACTGAGCATATCATATAAAGTATATTTAAGTGTAAAGAATAGTACAATTAGAAACTCTAGATCTAAGCGCCTAGAATAATCCTTCATTATAAGCCCCTCTCAAATGTCATGTCATCTATGGCATCATTGGCCCTACACATCAGGCGATGAATGATGATCGCTGTTTTCCACTATAGTTTTGTAGCGTGGAAGGAGGTCTCTACTGGGTAGAAACCCTGCTCTTGGAGTGGTGGAATTGTGCACGGGGCATATATCCTGGAAATAGTCCTGAATGAACTGGAGACCGCTCTTTCAAGTTGGAACTGCCTCCACTATCCATCCTAGACGACAATGCCATTGACCAGCATGGCTTGTACAGATCTGACCTGTCAAGCAACATGCAAACAATAGCAGTCTCCAGTCATTCTAAGGTAATCAGAGCCACCTACCTAGCTGATGCAAAACCCTGGCAGGTCTGCCAGCAAAATCCTAGTCACAATCCTAACAGCCCTTCAGAATACAACAGCCAACTTGTACACAAGCATGCTGGCAGTGCTGCCACTTGTCTCTCCTGTTGTTTCATGTTTAGCACACTGCTCTACACAAAGAGCAGGGAGCTGAGCGCAACAGTGATGGCAGTGGCCAAGACAGTGACTGGTGGAGCAAGAGAGCCTGACAAAGGGGAAGGAGGGTGGAGTGGAGAGTGGCATGAGATCGCATGGGAAGAATGAAGGGGGCGGAAAGCAGGAAACCAATGAGGGGTAACAGGCTGAAAGTACAGCTGCAAAAACACGAGAGCAGTGGTTGTGGCCAACCCAAAGCAGAACAAAGGCGTGGAAAAAGCAACATACCAGCAGGCTTGGGTGGTGGCGGTGCAGCAGCTGCGGAGGATGGAGTAGCGGAGGAGGGAGTAGGAGATGCAGGGGGGGTGCTGGGGCTGGGAGTGACGTCGCCAAAGGTGATGGTGCCATCGGGGCTAATGGTGGTCTTTCTGAAGGTGCTCACAGCCACACCGTTTGTCCCGGTGATCGTGCTGTTGCTGTACACCGTCAGATCTCCCGCCATCGCTGCCGATCCATCCGAGTTCACAACTGGCTGAATCGCCTGCCCTGCTGCATCCAGCACCGTGCCATTGGCCAGGATTGTCGTGGCTCCGATGGTGAGCCGCCCGCCGGTCTGAGCAAAGGAGAGGCCGGGTGCAGTGAAGGTGTTGTTGGGATAGAAGGTGTAGTCTCCGCCCACGGAGACAGACCCGTCTGTGTTCTTGGTAGGGGGGACGAGCGCACCGGCGGAGTCCACAACCGTGCCGTTGGGGAAGCGAGTGTAGCCGGGTCCAAACGACAGGCTGCCATCGGAGTTGAACGTCACGCTGCCGCCGCTGGAAGGAGGGGGGCCGGGGGAAGGAACGGGGCCAGGGAGGGAGCCAGGCGCAGGGGCAGAGCCAGGGGCGCCGACGGTGATGGTGCCATCGGGGGCAACGGCGAACTGCTTGCCAGTGTTGACCACAGCACCGTTGGCGCCCACAAGTGTGCCGTTCTCATACCCTGTGATGTCACCCGCTGTGAACGACCCATCTCCGTTATCTGTGGGAACAATGGGCGCTCCCGCCGCGTCCAGCACCGTGCCATTGTTCAGCATCGTCGTGCTGCCAATTGTGACTCCTGTCGTGCCGGCCATGCTGACAGCAGCACCAGGAGCAGTGAGCGTGCCATTGGGGTAGGCAGTGTAGTCGCCGCCGACAGTGAAGGAGCCATCGGGATTGCGAGTGGGGGAGACAGCAGCGCCAGTGGAGTCAGTGACTGTGCCGTTGGCCAAGAGAGTGTAGCCGGGCCCGAATGATACGGTGTTGTCCGGGTTGAACGTCAGCCTGGTGCCGCTGGGGTCGGAGGGAGTGGGACTGGGGCTGGACCCAGGTGCAGGGTTGGAGCCAGGAGCAGTCTCAGAGCCAGGTGCAGCCTCTGAGCCAGGTGCGGCCTCTGAGCCAGGTGCAGCCTCTGAGCCAGGTGCAGCCTCTGAGCCAGGTGCAGCCTCTGAGCCAGGCGAAGTCTCGGACCCAGGCGCAGGAACAGAGCCAGGTGCAGTTTCAGAGCCAGGTGCAGTTTCAGAGCCAGGTGCAGTTTCAGAGCCAGGTGCAGTTTCAGAGCCAGGTGCAGTTTCAGAGCCAGGTGCAGTTTCAGAGCCAGGTGCAGTTTCAGAGCCAGGTGCAGGGGCAGAGCCAGGTGCAGGGGCAGAGCCAGGCGCGGGGATGGAACCAGGGGCAGCAGATGTGACAGTGATGGTGCCATCAGGGTTGATGGTGAACTGCTTGCCGGTGTTGACCACGGCACCGTTGGCGCCCACAAGTGTGCCGTTCTCATACCCTGTCAGCTCGCCCGCTGTGAACGACCCACCCCCATTATCCGTCGGCTTGATCGGCACTCCAGCTGCGTCCAGCACCGTGCCATTGTCCAGCATCTTCGTGCTGCCTATCGTGTACCCAGGCGCGCCGACGCGATCAATGGCAACACCGGGAGCTGCGAGCGTACCATTGGTGTAGGCAGTGTAGCCAGCGCCGACGGAGTAGGACCCATCCGGATTGCGAATGGGAGCAACAGATGCTCCAGAGGAGTCAACCACAGTGCCGTTTGCCAGCATGGTGTAGCCGGGCCCGAAAGACAGGCTGCCATCGGGGTTGAACGTCAGATTGGTGCTGCTGGGGTCAGACGGAATGGGACCAGGGATGGAGCCAGGTGCAGGGTTGGAGCCAGGCGCAGGAGAGGTGACGGCGATGGTGCCATCAGGGGCAACGGCGAACTGCTTGCCAGTGTTGACCACGGCACCATTGGCGCCCACAATCGTGCCATTCGGAAACCCTGTGATGTCACCCGCTGTGAACGACCCGTCTGCATTCGCCGTCGGCTTGATCGTCTTTCCAGCCGCGTCCAGCACTGTGCCATTGGCCAGCATCGTCGTGGCGCCAATTGTGTATTCAGGCACACCGGAGACAGTGGCGATGGAAACACCAGGAGCAGTGACCGTGCCATTGGTGTACGCCGTGTAGTCACCGGCAACAGAATTCGACCCATCCGGGTTGACAATAGGAGTGACGAAAGCTCCAGTGGAGTCGACCACCAGGCCGCTAGGTAACATAGTGTAGCCGGGTCCGAAGGTCAGGCTGCCATCGGGGTTGACAGTCAGGTTGGTGCTGCTGGGGTCGGGAGTGACAGCAATGGTGCCGTCTGGATTGACAGCGAATTTCTTGCCGCTCTCTACCACCGACCCGCCGGGGCCCACAATGGTGCCGTTGGGGAAGGCGGTGTACTTGCCGCCGACGGTGAACGACCCGTCGGGATTGGCGACGGGCTTGACGGGTTTGCCTGCTGCGTCCACCACCGTGCCGTTGGGCAGCACCTTGTAGTCCGCGCCCAGCGACACACTGCCGTCAGGGTTCAAGCCTCCGCCGCTGCCAGTGGTTCCGCCGCTGCCCGTGCCTCCGCCGCTGCCAGTGCTTCCGCCGCTGCCCGTGCTTCCGCCGCTGCCCGTGCTTCCGCCGCTGCCCGTGCTTCCGCCGCCGCCAGTGCTTCCGCCGCCGCCAGTGCCTCCGCCGCCGCCAGTGCCTCCGCCGCCGCCAGTGCCTCCGCCGCCGCCAGTGCCTCCGCCGCCGCCAGTGCTTCCGCCGCCGCCAGTGCTTCCGCCGCCGCCAGTGCTTCCGCCGCCGCCAGTGCCTCCGCCGCCGCCAGTGCCTCCGCCGCCGCCAGTGCCTCCGCCGCCGCCAGTGCCTCCGCCGCCGCCAGTGCCTCCGCCGCCGCCAGTGCCTCCGCCGCCGCCAATGCCTCCGCCGCCGCCAGTGCCTCCGCCGCCGCCAGTGCTTCCGCCGCCGCCAGTGCCTCCGCCGCCGCCAGTGCCTCCGCCGCCGCCAGTGCCTCCGCCGCCGCCAGTGCTTCCGCCGCCGCCAGTGCTTCCGCCGCCAGTGCTTCCGCCGCCGCCGGTGCCTCCGCCGCCGCCGGCGCCTCCGCCGCCGCCGGTGCCTCCGCCGCCGCCGGTGCCTCCGCCGCCGCCGGTGCCTCCGCCGCCGCCGGTGCCTCCGCCGCCGCCGGTGCCTCCGCCGCCGCCGGTGCCTCCGCCGCCG